AACGGGAAGGTTCGAGTGTGCTCCAGAAGAACTACTCGCGGCGCAAAGGCAATTTCAGGAACTACTCGCGGCGCAAAGGCAATTTCCTTGTGTATGATCCAACCTTTTATCATCTTTGTTTTCAGAATCTTGGATCCGGATGTTTTTTCAGGTCTCCGGCGCTTTTTTCGGAATCCGGCGGAAAATTTTGCCGGATTGAGGTCCGGCACTTTTTTCCGCCCAAAGGAGGATCCAGGTATGGCGCGTTGACTTGCCGGTGCCCCTTTGGTACCTCTACATCTTCGGGTTGACCTTCTGAAGGGGGGCGCCAAGTCGCAGCAGTCGCGAAGCTGCGCGAGAAAACCGATTGAGGGGTCGGGGGCGTTGGCATCCTGCGCTTGGCTTGCACGCTTTCTTGTTTTACAACCCCTCCGTCCGCAGCCGCGTTCGCAGCTTTTCGTGCGCTCTCTGGGCCGCGGCGGGTGGCCATGCCGCCGGCGCAGCAATGTCCGGCAGCGCCAAGCGCCGCTCCCGTCGCCGGTGATCGCATTTTGCTCTTCCAGATGCCGTGGTTGCTTCGTATCCTGGACGGGGAGAAGACGTGCGAAGTGCGTAGCGCGTCTCTGCGTCCGGGTGGCACCTGGCTGGGCAGCGGGGGGCGCCTCTATGCGTGGCTTGAGCGACCGCGTGGAAACAGTGGAGGACTCCCAGACCCGCCTGGCCGAGCATTGCGTCATTGCAGATATTTTACCTTACCGTCGCACTTATCTGACGCCTCTCTTGCGGGTGCAGCCCCTGGACCCGCCGATTCCGTATGTGTCACGGCCGGGCCCGGTGACGTGGGCACGGTTCCAAGCGCCCGCGTCGCCCGAGGTGGCGTGCTGGCGTCCTGCATCCACATTAGATTGCAGACCTTCTGGCCAGATGAAAACAGCTGGATCCGCCTCCCTATCACGTCCGTTCGCGTTCAGGTCTGACCGCGATGGATATTGTTTGCCACCAAGTCTCCGGCTCAAAACTGCGCTGCCCGCCCCTTTTGTGTTTCGGCCTTCCGCTGCCGTGCAACCTCTCCAGCTGTCCGACGAGATCTTGCTGCTTGCATTGCTATACCGCTCTGTCCCCTTCCCTGCGTGCTACAGCTCGCAGCCGTCGCTCGCCGCGCCGGCCCTGGGCAGTTGACCACGCACGAGCTCCTGCGGCGCTGTGTAACGGGTCCTCACGGCGCTCATGCCCGTTTTGTGGGAAGGCCTCCGTGCCGTTGCTGCACTTTGGAGGGCATCACTCGGGCGACTTCGCGCATGCCGTCGCGGCGCGCGCGGCTTGCATACACGCCGGAATGTGGTCCGCACGTTGCCCGGCAACTCTGCCACCAACCTCGCGCGCCGCCCCCGTACACCGCCCGGCTGCCCGATCTTCCGAGGTGATTCGGAGGTCTTCCTCCTCCAGTGGCTGGCCGCGAACACGGACAGCGTCGCCGGCGAGACCATGGCGGCGTTTTTGCGGCGGCACTCGTGGCGCCACCTGTGGCTCAGCGGTCACGGGGAGACGACGCTCGTGCTCGTCTTCGCGGTGGAGAACTGTGAGGGAGCTCTTGTCTTTCCCATCAGCGCGGCGGCCGGTGATTGGCCCGACGTCGCTGCGTTGTGAGTGGTGGCGGCCGTCAGCGTGAAAGGAACGCTCCGCTTTATTGTGACGTTGCGCCGCTCGAGCGTGATCGCCGGTATTAGCACCCAGTCGTTGCGCGCCAGGTGTCATGCCGGGCCACATCCTGCGCGGGACCGGCGCCGGCTTCCAGTCTCCTGGCCGCAAATCCTGCAGGGCATTCATAGTTCTGGCGCCTGTGCGGAAGTCCAAGCGAAAGTGTCGGAGAGAGGGAGACGAACGGACGGGCAGGGAAGGGGCGGAGCGGTCACGGGGACTTTGGCCACCCGAAAGAGCCGGATTGATCATTTCGGGAAAGGTACAAGGCGCGGCAGGAAGATAGAGGTAGGCTAGCATTCTGTGCCTACGGCCACTCCAGTTTGGAGGGGCGCACGAATCGTCGAAGTTTCGCGCGCCCCTCACCGAGGTGCTGCTCTGCTGCTTTCCGTCCCTTTTCGTGGTGCCCCGCCCTTGCGTGATGGGGCAGGAACGCGCAGGACAGGCAGCGACAGGGCGGAAGAGGAAGGAAGGGGGAGGGTGAGGGAGACAGGCGAAAGGGAGCGGGAGGAAGACAGAGGTCGGCGAGCTCTACTACGGCCACTTCAGGGGGGCGCTCGAATCGTCGACGTTTCGCGCGCCTCTCACGGAGGTGCTGCTCTTCTGCTTTCTCTCCCTCCCTCCCTTTTCGTAGCGCCGGTGCCCTTGCGTGATCGCTGGTATTCGGGGTCAGTCGTTGCGTGCCAGATCCTGCCGGGGCGCATCCGGCAGGAAGGGGAGAGCGGGAGGCAGGTGGAGGGAGGCAGAGAGAGGAAAGCAACGGACAGGGAGGAGAGGGCCAGGAGGAAAAAGGCTACGAGGCTAGGACAGCCCTATGGCAGGCGAGGCATTGGCCGAGGATAGCCCCATGGATAGCGCTAGGCCTAGGTCTAGGATAGGCCCATGGATAGCGCTAGGCATAGGCCTAAAATAGACCTATGGAATAGCCTAGGCATAGGCCTATGGATAGCCTAGGCATAGGCCTAGGGTAGGCCTATGGATAGCCTAGGCATAGGCCTATGGATAGCCTAGGCATAGGCCTATGGATAGCCTAGGCATAGGCCTAGGATAGGCTTATGCCTAGGGTAGGCATGGGCCTAGGATAGGCCTATGCCTAGGGTAGGCCTATGCCTAGGCTAGGCGCCGGGAGTTCTATGCCGCCAACATGGGAACCTCTCCATTCTTCAGCTTACATTTTTTAAGAAAATGCAAGTCACATGTATTCAGGCTGGGAGATATGTGCACTGAATGCATGAAAGAAAACACAATGTAAGCTGATGATGTGAAGCAGATGAAAAGCCTGCCGCTTGTGAGAATCTGCTACTGCATTTTGCTGCTGGCTTCTTTCTTTATATCACGCTTCCTTCTCAGCTACCGTTCGATCGTAGGGGCCTTGCATGGACACTTTATTGATTGTTTTTCCCATATGTATCGTTACTTCTGTAGTCTTCATACGTTGCCTTTCAATGTCTAGGTACATACCACCGGTTTACGGGCGTCCAAAAATGTAGCTTACATTTTTTTGGGTTCCATTTTCTTACCGCCATTCTGTGTTTTCCGCGTTTTTCCTCTTCTCCCTTCTCTTCCCGTTCTTTTCTGAATGTCTTTCCTTCTTCCTGGATACCAATGGGCCCTAGGACCATTACCCGTTTCCTGAGGCCTGAGGGAGCTGCTCGTGAGAATCTGCTACTGCATTTTGCTGCTGGCTTCTTTCTTTATATCACGCTTCCTTCTCAGCTACCATTCGATCGTAGGGGCCTTGCATGGACACTTTATTGACTGTTTTTCCCATATGCGTCGTTACTTCTGTAGTTTTCATACGTTGCCTTTCAATTTCTAGGTGCATACCACCGGTCTAGGGGCATCCAAAAATGTAGCTTACATTTTTGGAGGCTACCATCTTTGATATGATTCGCACAGATTCAAACAATCACGATAAGCGTGAATTATGCTTGGATACATGTGTGCATATCATCTTTTACTTTTTTACTGCTTCTCTTCTACTACTGGAGAATGAATCCACGGACACGTGCCTGTTCTTCTATCTCTCTCCTTCTCAAAGTTACATATGATCACCCCCCCTTCAAATTATAGGATTTGAAGTGGGGGCCTCAGAAAATGTATGTTACATTTTGGCGCCCCCTCCCCCCCCCGCCTGTTTTTTGGTACCGTTGCATGCTTATTGTCTCAGTCATTCCTGGGAATGTTATGAATCTTACTTGGATATTCTCCCTTACAACGAACAAAGACAAGCGCAACGCAACAAAGGCGCTAAATGGACGCAATGAGGTGCAAAATGGACGCAATAAACCGAAAAACAGGAAAGCCGCTGAAGATAAGAAAACCTAGTTCAGTCGATCAGGCCGATGGAGCCGATGGGGCCGATGGGGATAATGGGGCCGATACGGCCGATGAAGCCGCTGAAGCCGCTGCAGCCGATGGGGCCGTTGGGCCCGATGGGGCCGATGAAGCCGATGGGGCCGATGGGGCCGATGGAGCCGATGAAGCCGATGGGGCCGATGGGGCCGATGGGGCCGATGAAGCCGATGGGGCCGATGCGGCCGATGGAGCCGATGAAGCCGATGGGGCCGATGGGGCCGATAGAGCCGATGAAGCCGATGAAGCCGATGGGGCAGATGGGGCCGATGAGGCCGATAGAGCCGATGAAGCCGACGAAGCCGATGGGGCCAAGGGGCCTGATGGGGCCGATGAAGCTCTGACAGTCACATAAATGCCTACTGTCTTCAAGGAGGCATCGGCAAACAATTACCTTCGGTCATGGAGCCACAGGTGCATCTCAATCCATCTTTGGAAATGAACAGGTTACAGCCGCAAAATGGACGCCAAGCTTCGATGGCATGGGGGACCCCCCCTCAACGTAATATCGATTTTTTGCCTGGAAAGGTCAGCTTACATTTTTACACCCCCCAAAAATGTAAGTTACACATTAAGAGGTCCCCCCGCTGCAAAGGGGCGGTGATCCTCAACTACTACAATTCCTTTTAGACAAACGCCTGACGGCTTTGTTTTCGTGTCTCCGGGAAGCGAAAGCTTCGTAGCGCAAGGGCCCCTTGCAAGAGGATCACCGTACAGTGATTGAACAGTTTTTAGGTATGTAAAGATTGGGGGCGTCCCATTACTTGGGAACGGGACATGCCCAATTCAATACAGTACCCAAAGTATAGACAACATTAGAGCATAAAATAAGCTCACGTTAGTTACTATACAGTACACTACACTAAAAGCCGTTTTTGCGGTATCGATTGTTCATGATTTTGAGGAGTGGTGCATGAAACAGGATCATGTATTTGCTCAGTCGCCTTCCTCATTGAAGTGATACCAAGGACATGGCAATTCTCAACCTTGGATGCTCCGATTCCGAGAAGCCTGCCCCGACTGGACCGAGTTGCCCAACACCACCGGCCCATGGGCAACAGCCTTCCACACGGCCACAGGTGGGGCACGGATGAAAGCCAACAGCAGGGCGTCTCAAGAGGGAAGGGCCGATCACGGCTACCTTGCCAGTAGGGGAAAAATATGTTGATATCAATAAATACATTTATATATATATATAAATATATATATATAACTATAACCATATATGACTGCTATGAGGGGAACATGATCGCCGATATTTGACATCACTTAAAAAGCCTTCAAGAGCCAGCTTGGTGAATGATTGAGCAATCCGGCAGTGCCGTTGGGCAAGGAAACTGAGGTTTGTGAAAGACAAGTGCGTACAGGAAGTAGATTTCTGGAGAAAAAGGATGCTTTTGGAGACAAGTAGAGAGTAGACTCAGAGTAATCACCAAGCTCAAAATATATGAGCTGCAGTCAAAACATGCGAGGACCACTTTCGTAAAGAGGGGTAGTTTTGTGCGCAAAACCCTGCAAAAGGATCAGGTCCACCTCAAAACCGATAACCTCAGCGCTGTATATGATCATAAGTCTGCAACGAACTCAAAACACTGTAAAACGACAAGACCCAACTCAAAACCGATGACATCCATTTTTTCGTTGAAGAAGAGCAAGGAGTTTTGACCGTCCCTCATATGGGGGTTCTTGCTTCAATTGGTGTTTGCATCGGGTTTGGACTACACTCCAAATATATATATATATATGTACAATTGTTCCTCCACTGCGGATGGAGGCCTTGAAGACGGCAAACGTGTTGCGATTGTGGGTGGGCTTGGAGATGGCAGCTCACACGATGGTGTTCCTTGGTTTGCCTTGCGTGTTCTGCAAAATGACACAGGGATGAGGCTTGAATGGCACCAAATAAATCCAGTAAGAGCAGTCAAGGCAACTGTATAATCATGTGTGTTATACCTGTCCAAACTTCGTTGACAATCGCATGTCTTCATGAAACGGAGTGGGAGTGGTATCAAAATGATAGCACTCCAATCCACTGCGGCAACACACTGCAACAATGATATTACAACTGATCGTATACATGATTCTGTCATTTGGAAGACGATGGTGACCATATGGTGAGACCATGGTGGCCCGACAAGAACACCAGCGACTCTTGCTCCGGGAGTGCTCCTGTGCGGCAGCTTGGACCGAGGTTTGGACCTTCCACGCCGACACCGGTCGTTGGACTCACTGCTCCGGTGGCCCGGCGCCCGCGGGGCACGTGGCGGCGCTGGATGCGGACGGGCAGCGGCTGCTGCTGAGCTTTGGGGTCCGGCGCTCACCGTGGCATGGCGAGAGGATCAGATTGATCAGATCCAGTGAAAGAAAGGCATTCCCCTGTTCCTGACATATATCACTAGTGGTCTTCCTTCACGGACCCGTCCTTTTGCATACCTTTGCCTAAAAGTAGTCAGCGGCCGCGTCTTGAAACATGACCGATGCCAATGGCCGAACGTGCACCGGCTGGTCCGGAGTCTGAATCTGAGGGATTCTTTGAATGGCGACAGCTTCTTGGAGACGATGAATGTCTTTGACCTCAGGATGAACCGCTGGGACGACCTTTGGAAGGAGCGAGCGCGGTCAAAAAGCGAGCGCGGAAATCTCGCGCTGGTGTGACTTCGAACAAGACTTCAACAATAGAGTGGAAGCCTTGAGCTTGATTTTTTGTGAGTCGTGAGTGGGATGCTTTGAGTGTGAGAAGCGCAAGTGGCACGGGCCAGATATGTATGTATATATATTATACAGTATATGTATAGTCTATATATGTTTTTCTTCCTTACAGGAAAGCCCAGGAAGGCACCAGGCAATCAGCATGGTAAAAGGAAATTCGAGATGTCCGAACTCGCAGCTCGCCAAACGCATGTGGGATGGCAACATGGCGACCACCGCCGTCAGCCTTTTGGGAATACTTTCTTTGCCAGACGCCTCGTTGGTGGGAACCAAACATGTCTGAGAAACGGCGGAAACAAGACCAACCCAAATTGGATCTATCATGGTCTATCGATCATGATCTATCTCGTTGGGACCCTTTTGAAACCACAGCACCACCAGTACCGGGCAGTTTATAGTGTCTAGCATCAATAGCCATTTTTGGGGGTGATCCCTTGCAGAAGGCGATTGTTCATGTTCGATGTCAAGGTCATGGTTTTTAGGGTGTAAGCGGCGGCGTGGAATTCACAACCACGAATCCCATGGTGCAGTGTGTGGGTGTGTGTCAAACTCCGTCTCTAGGAGTCCTCACCAAGTTTTTAACCGTGGGGGGACAGCGTTTCACTGGGACTGTGTCCAATGAAGCTACCAGTGAAATGGGATTTCCAGCTTGGCCAGCTGGATGTACCTGCGTCAATTTTTAAGCTTTGGTAAAGTGCTAGCGAATATGTTAAACAGTTCTGTTCTTCGGACCCTTTCGCCTCACAGTTTTTGATAGTTTTTGCAGTAAAGTGCTAATGCAGTAACTAACTTGTGGTTCTAAGTAGAGCTTAAGCTGTCTCCTTCCGTGTTTTGCAGTAAAGTGCCAATGCAGTAACTAGCTTCCGGGAAAGCACTTTCTGAAACTTATGCTCATTCATTTGGGATATGAATCTAAGCGTGACCAGCTGCATCTTCCCACTTGGGTGTGCAGTGCGATCCCCGCAAGAGGCGCCGTACTCATTGTTGAAAATTGCTGAAGAGCCGATATGCGCCGTGAGCCATTTCCTGATTCATTGTTCACCTTCAGGATCACCTGAATCAAGACCGCCGAGTTTACGGTGAATTCTCCTGAAACAACTTGACCGTGCAGTTTTTGATGGCCATGTGTGCATCACACACGCACACCCGCACCTTTTTCCCTCTTGCATTTTTTCTTCGTTTGTTAGGTGTTTCTTCAAGACTGTTAGGTTGCTCTTCAGGCTTGCTTAGTCGCTCCAACACTTCACACACAACCCTATACTGCCCTATACCCCTCGTTCTTTCTCTCCTGCCCTTTGTTTCTTTTTCTAGGCCCGACTCTTCTCAAGAGGCTGTTTAGGTGCGTAACCAGGTGTTTTTCAGTCAAGTGACAGCCAGCTTCCGGTAGAGCACCCTGTCTCTGTGAACCTGAGTAATGCTTAAGCTGTCCAATACGTTGTTTCTTCACTAAAGGGCTAATGCTTCCACAGGTAACCTTGTTGTGAACCTAAGTACGGCTTAAGCTGTCCAATGCTTTGTTTCTGCACTATAGCAAGGGCGCGCCGCTTTGCGGCCCATTGTGTGTGTGTGCGTCAAGCTCTGTCTCTAGGAGTCCTCACCAATTTTTAAACCGCAGGGGGCACAGCGTTTCACTGGGACTGTGTCCATTGGCCAGCTGGATGTACCTGCGTCAATTTTTAAGCTTTGGTAAAGTGCTAGCGAATATGTTAAACAGTTCTGTTCTTCGGACCCTTTCGCCTCACAGTTTTTGATAGTTTTTGCAGTAAAGTGCTAATGCAGTAACTAACTTGTGGTTCTAAGTAGAGCTTAAGCTGTCTCCTTCCGTGTTTTGCAGTAAAGTGCCAATGCAGTATCTAGCTTCCGGGAACCCACTTCCTAAAACTTATGCCCATTCATTTGAGCTATGAACCTAAGTGTGTGTGAGTGTCTCGTTGGTGGCCGGGGCAGGACAAGGTGCAAGTGAACAAACCTTGTGCACGGCGGAATCCGGCTGGTGCGAGCATCGGTCGATACTTCATCATCTCGGGTGGCTACAGCGACTTGATTCCTCACTTGGGCAGGGGGGCGGACAATGCCTGTATCCAGGAATCAATTGATACCCCACCAATCCCCACTATGTGAGTGCCAAACACATATCTACAATATCTCTATTGTTTTACTACATAACATGCAGCATTTAAGCCCAACATTGGTTTCGCCCAGGTGGTTGTCAATGTGCTGGGTCAGTTCGTTATCTTGTATGACTTGGGGCCACAATTTTGTGAGCCAACAACCCCATTGCCAAACGGAAAGTGAAAAAACGGAGCTAATATACAATAGAACGCAGAGTGCCCAGTTGGTCTGCGCCTGTTATTTGCAAATTAAAACTAATACTTTACAAACATCTGAGGGTTTGCTGATTTGTAACTCCCCGGGCCCCATGTAGGAAACTCTTCTTTTCTGTTTCGGTGAAGAGTTCTTCTCCGCTTGCACAGGTGAAGAAGACTTTTCCACGTTGAACGATACCTGGGCCTTTGACATGCGACGGGGCACCTGGAAGTTGCTGGACCTGAACCACGCGCCTCCGGTCGAAGGGCACAAGGCGATCGCCAGTGGTTTGGAGACTTGGCAACTTTTGGGAGCTAATGTATATAGACTCTTGATGAATAAAGCCACCCTATATATATATACTGTATATATTTGTTATTTGTTTATGTTTTTTTAATACATATTTTTCCATATGAGTTTTCCTCATCAACAGTCTACATTATATGTTTTATTGTCATTTTTTGAGCTCTTGCCTTCAGGGTCGGCAAGGTATCATAAACTGTTACTCCTCCTTTATGTTCTGCAAGTTTCGTCGTGTATTTCTGAAGTTGAAGTGTTTGTCTTTCTGCAACCATCATTTGCCGGCGTGTTCCATGGTGTTCCACTGGATTCACCATGTCATCTTTGGGGGTCTCCTCTTTAGTTCCCGGAGACTGGTCCATCCGCCGAACGAACCAGGACCTTTTCACCTTTGGTGGCCACCGGCTGCGACACTTCGAAGGGCCACACGTGTCTGTGCACAAGCTGGCCTTATGTCAAGGTAGGGCAAATAGTTTTAGGGTAACAACTGTAACAACTTGGGACACCCCTTTTGCTTGATAGCTGGGACACCTCTTCTACCTTCTTCTCTTTGACTTAGGGTAAGTGGTGGCAGAAGACATCAGACCCATGAAACGCATGGAGAGGTCACCACCCTGAGACAGACTTTTCACTCTTTTGTATCAGCAGGTGGCCCACTGCTTCCTCCATCGGCAGCGGGGTGCTTCCTTACAACAAGAAGAGCAACAACGATAATACTATACTAATAATATATATATATACATTTATATTGTTTGATTATATACACATGTATGCAACCTTGTGTAGCCTGCCAATCACCATGAAACATGTCCATCCGCTCAAACAAACATGCCAGCACAGGCCCCGACGGAGAAGGCCCTGGGCCGACCAGCTCTCTTTGTTCCAAGCTTTTCGATGATGGGCACAGCGATGGCAGCCTGATCACTGACATGTCGTCATCAGGTGAAAGCGGGTGAAAGCGGCAATTCACTGAGAATGCCATTCACTTGGTTCTCCAAACGTCGATGGGATTTCAGGGTATGTCCAAAAGTAGCAAGGCCCCCAACCAATGCGTGTTTGATTTCCCTTTCTACCAGTGCTTTGCGAAAGCCTCCCAATTTTGAGGCCACACCCTTCCAGTCAGTGACCTTGCCGCTTGCGACCTTGTCGCCGGATGTTATTCCTTATAGTACTCCTCCGAACACATAAAAATCGACTGGGCAAAGGTCCCAGCGGGACGACCATCGTCCAAGCTCGTCCATGCGACCTCTGGGCCGAAGAGCGGGGCTGAGACCAAAAGCGCGATAACGGACGAAGAGGAAGAGCAAATGGACGAAATGCAATGGTGAAAGAAACATGAATTGCCATGTAGTTGGGGCTTAGTGCTGTGGAATCTCTTTTGAAGGAGGATGACGATAACTAAGCTGGGGGATGAACCTTTTTCCAGCCGAGGGGGACCTTGCTAGCACAGGTGAAGACATAGATCTGGTGCCTGCCTAAGAACACGAGAGAGAGAGAGAGAGATGGGTCGATAAGTTTAAAAAAATGGGTCGATGGGTCGCTCATTGAATGAATACTATAGATGATACATATAACTAGTGACTGTCCGTTGGCGTTGCTGTTTAAACCATTTGGGCTTCTGGATGGGTGCCACGGCCACCGAGTCTGATCGCTTAGAAGCTTCGAAGGACTACCGCACCTGGGCGCGGGAGCTTGGCTGGTCCCGAGCTGCCGCCCAAGGAAGACACCGATTCACCCAGAATCCCAACATCCCAACGAATCCCATCCCAGGATTCACCGTACTATGTGATTTCCATTGGGGATATATACTGGTATCCCAACATCTGCCTTTGAGAGAGTGATCTCATGGTGTCAAACACGCGCGGCGTCGGCGGACCAACCACGTCGCCGGCGTCGGACCACAAACGGCCAGTTCGGACCGGGCACCGGGTCCAGTATGTGGATCCGGCAGTCCAAGGGAGTGGACGAGACCGAAGCGTAGATGGGAAAGCATCTATGGCGCTTTGCTGGCCTTGCCAGTGTTAAACAAACATAGGGACATAGGGACGGACTAGTGCATGACTCTGCTCACTTCGACGTGCCGTCATTTCCAGCAAGAGAAACCTGAGGTGACTAGCGTCGACATCGATCTTCAGTCCGTGACTCAGCGCTGTGCGGCCTCAAACATATCCACCACGACGCGCGCGTGCGCTCATGCACTGCACCTTGAGGCCGGGTGAGGCGCGGGGGGACTTGATGAGAGGGACCTGGGCAGCTGATCCCAGGACATTCCCATGAGGACTGGATGTAGGGAACAAGATGCTCCTGGCCACGCTTGATTGGATTTGTTCCAGGGTGAAAGCACTCGAAAATGGCACGAAATTGCTCCGTGCTTCCATCCCCAAGCCACCGGCAACACCACGAGCACGATCGAATGCTTTCCCCGATCACAAGCTGGAGCGACTGCATGATATGATCCGTTGGTCAGGCAGCGCCAAACTTCACGGAGGTTTGGGTTGAGCTCCAAAATCTCCACAAGTCGGGCAGACCTAGTCGACCGCCCGACGAGAAAGACGCCGAAGCCCGGGGGCTCTTTTTCCATGGGAAGAAGGGCTTTGGAGGATTGGCCAAGACATTGGGGGTCGGGGCACGTGAGGGGTCTCAATGTTTTACATTTTCGAAGCTTCCAACATGGGCCTGTTGGTGGATGTTGGGGGTGATGAATATTCAGAATATATAGAACATACCAGCAGCACCGTCCAACAGGTCACCACCTGCGACTTTTAAGCCTGCAAAAGCCTTCAGGGGAGACCTTTTGGAAGGTCCTTGTATAGAGAGAATCAGTGAGACGCATGAGAAAGTGCAGATGAGCACCACGTGGTGTGGCAGTGTTGTTCCCCCCTAGAAACCTCGTTGATCGCCGGGTCGTATGACGGCATCCTTTCGATACTTGACGGACGGGTCGTATGACAGGGGACCAGCCGCGTGACACGGTGGGGAAACTCCCGAGGCGCCAGAAGGTTTCCAAAGGCACGGCCACAACGGACCGTTGGACTGGGAACGAGTTCGTCCTGCGATTTGGCTGTGCCGAATTCGGAGTGATGAGTGATGGTTTAGCAGGAGTGCTACTGAGAGGAGGGATCCATGCCCTGCTTCAGACTTGCCTTGATCGAATAATGTTTGCCATAGATTACCATTGTGCCATTTTGTGCCGCATGCCCAGAGTTTCATTTCGGAGTACCACTTACAGTACTACCTCGACCACGACCTGATATGATATCCATGTAATGCCGAAGCTCTCACGAAGGTTCCAAAGCCTCTACAGTTTGTTTGGATTGGATTGGACTGGAATTTGGGGAGCCCGTGGTAGTGCCATACACTCAAGATTCCACATAATCCATCAGCCTGCGACCAGAAGAACCTGACTGGAAGTGGTTGGCATCTCAGTGCGTTTTTGCTGGAGCAGCTTGGGAGGGCAGCATGGGGAGGGCCTTGTTCTCTCCAATCCGAGCACTTCTTCGTCCGCAGCTTTCAGACTGCGTCATCTCGAAAACGGGTCCACCGGCCAGCGGCACAGACCGGCGCCCGATCCACTCAAATCTGTTTGGGATTGGCAAACATCACGGGCTCACACTGGATCGACATGGCTCGCTGGTTTCGTTTCGGATCTGGGCGTTCAGCATCCGCGCTCGCTGGATGCTTTCCAGTACAGCCATCCCATATCACCGTTCTTGGGCGTTCATGCCTTCGACACCCATGTTCGTCGAAACGAAACACCGGACCCATCGATCGGTCACCGCCCGTGGGGATCAACACCCACCGCCGGGCGCGCTGTGGGGTCGATGAGGTCGGAGCCTTCGGACTGGAGACACTGGGGCCGCTGGAGCCGCTGGAAGGAGGACCCACGGAGTGGCCCACGGAGTGGCGCAGGGTTGTGGCAGGGGGCGAGGCCCCGTGAGGTGTGATGTTGAAGGCTTTTGGTATCTTTTTGGTCCTATTTTTCAGTTGGGATCCTGAAGGGGCGAAAGAGAGCCAAGATGAAAGACATTTTTGGGATCGACCTGTGCGATTCACCAGGTTTGGAAGTTGGAGCATTGCATGGGAAACTGGGAAGGTTTTGTGCTAAGAAGCACTTCGGCCACCGGTGAGCGGGTGGTGAGAGAGGCCTCTCATGAAAAGCCCTTCAAAGCTACAACTGCATGCCTGCATGCTAACATATTTGCTAACTACAGCCCTTCAACATGGCACTGGGGGCATTAAAAAAAGCACCAGCAGAGGCTCAAAGAGTCGCCAGTGAAACGCCGGCGATGAGACTTCTTGTCCAAGAAGGTCGGTCGATTCCATACAGGTTTTCCCAGGGCGGTCCGGTTTCGCCCCTCTCGTTGAAAAGAACGGATATGTATATATACCTGGAGCCTCAGTGACTTCTATTTTGGACCACCAACCACCTAGAATGTGGTCTTTTCCTATCACAACAGGGGCCACATGGGCCAGAGGTATATATTTATAAATTGAAAAGGGGGGTTGCGGCGCATGCTGTGTTTTTCGACCCGACTTGAGGTGACGTGACGGGGCACGCCTCCCATTTAGTAACTCCCATTCGCCGTCGGGTGGCCAATGTCGGTGGCCTGTCGCGTTCCCAAAGTCGAAAGGACTGGGACGGCGAGCACAAGGAGTGCAATTGGGCTGTTTTGTTGGCTGAAGGTCTTCAGGGTGAACAGCGGCCTTTTCAAAGGGTCATCACATCATGTCATCACGGATCGTTTGGATCCTCAAGTGCTTGCACACTCTCACAATATCTCCTTGACATTCCTTGACTGTTTGTTGGTCCTGAAGCCAGTTTGTGCTTACCTAGCTGGAGCATGCTGGAGCTGCGGCAAGGGTTGGGCGTTGCTTGTGGACGTAACCCTGATGGTTTCAGACTCAGACCTCTGCCTGCGGGGCTGAAACCTCGTCCATTCTGTTCGGAGCACGTGCTCCCACGGTCCCACACCATGTCATTGGCACTGACTCAAAGGACTTCAGAAGGAGAACTTGAGAACAAATCATCTCGTCGGTGTCCCAACGGTCAGAAACATCCAATATCCATCAGTAGAACAACCACTTCAGCTGCAAAGGTCGTGTCTTTTTTGGGAGAACCCGTGGGAGAGATGTACCTCTTCACCTGCTTTGAGACAGAACATCTTCAGAATGGAACCACGTGCCGCCAGCGGAACCACCTGCCGCACAGTATGCCGCCAGAAAGCTGCGGGAAGCCGATCCGGAAGAGCCCACCGGTCCAGGGGTAAGACACCAGTGACCCCGGTGCAGCGGTGCTTTGGTTTGGTCCTGGTTGGCCAAACCTGGCCTGCAAGCCCCAGAAGAGAATGGCGGCCCTTATGCCATATATACATATATAATACTTACTACTGTATAAATGGGTCAGTTATAGGGTCTTTGGACCGGAGCCACCGCGCATGTTCCACCTCGCCTAGCCATTCCAAATGAAAGCCACGCCTAGCTGCCTAGCTTCGCTTCGCTCAGCAAAGCTGTCCGCAGGAGGCTCGTATCGTCCTGGCACCAGCCAAGAGCCCTCCCGATCCTCCTGTTTTGAGGGAGGTGAGACGGGCTTCTCCCCTGGCGTTCCTGGGCAGCAGGGCTCCAATAAAACCAGCGTTGTCCTCCATGGCTGATTTTTGTCGGTTTTGGTGTGCTACATGATGGCCATGATTGGATTTAAAGTTGTCTGAACACACATCACAGAACCCCTGGCCCAACTTTGCAACTAGCTGCTTGACTGACACTTCTGACCAGTCAATGCAACATCCATGATCTTCAGGGCCTTATCCTTATCCCTGACAGGTAGCTAGCAGGCGCCTTATTTAAAAGAACAAGACAAAACAACATTCACACTTGTATGATAGGGGTTGGAAGACTTCCAATTGTGCAATCTGCGTTGAACTCCATTCCCTCAGCTTGGTCGCTTCAAGGCTGAAACCGGCGCCTCGGGGCGATCCCTTGGCCGACTTCGCTGCGGA